TGGGCAACTTGCAAGACTCATCTCTACAATAAATCAAAAATTAGCCGGGCGTGGTAGCGCGTGCCTGTAGTTCCAGCTACCTGGAAGGCTGAGGTGGAAGGATCGCCGGAGCCTGGCAGATTGAAGCTGCATGGCCGGGAGTGGCCACTACACTCCAGTCTGGGTGACAGAGTGAGACTCCAACTCAAATAAATAAATAAATAAATAAATAAAAATGCAGATGCAGCTTCTGGACAAATTCCCCAGGATCCCTTCCCACCCCTTACTCCCTGCCCCAACCAGATTGAGAACCTGAGGCTGCTGGGTGCAGTGGCTTACGCCTGTAATCCCAGCACTTTGGGAGGCGAAGGTGAGAGAATTGCCTGAGCTCAGGAGTTCAAGACCTGCCTGAGCAATACGGCGAGACCTCGTGTCCACAATAAATTAAAAAATCAGCCGGGCTCAGTGGCTCAGCCTGTAATCCCATGCCTTGGGAGGCTGAGGTGAGCGGATTGCCTGAGCCCACGGGTTCGAGACCCGACTGGGCAACTTGGCAAGACCTCATCTCTACAATAAATCAAAAATTAGCCGGGCGTGGTAGCGCGTGCCTGTAGTTCCGGCTACTTGGGAGGCAGAGGTGGAAGGACCGCCGGAGCCCAGCAGGTAAAGGCTGCGGTGGCCGTGAGTGTGCCACTGCACTCCAGCCTGGACGACAGAGTAAGACTCTGGCTCAAAAAAGAAAAGAAAAAAAAAGAGCGAACCAGAAGCTGCCCAGGTGACACCGTGGAGTGTGGAGATAGGGAGGTGGCCTGGTGTAGCCCCTCACACCCTCCCTCTGCCCCACAGCTGCCAGCACCATGGAGATTGTGTACGTGTACGTCAAGAAGCGCAGCGAGTTCGGGAAGCAGTGCAACTTCGTGGACCGCCAGGCCGAGCTGAACATCGACATCCCGCCCAACCCCGAGCTGGCCGAGCTGTTCGTGGAGCGGAACCCGGTAGACAAGGGCATCCAGTGCTCCACCAGCATGTCAGAACACGAGGTGGGTCCCTGCCCTGCGGGCCCAGGCCAGGGAGGGTGAATCGGGCAGGGTGGTGGGCCACAGCACCATGGGACTGGGTGGCCCTGTTCACCTGACAGCCAGCGAGAGTGGACCAACGCAGAGGCTGGGAGTGTGCGGGCAGAGACCCCTCGAGAACCCCACAGTGTCCAGGGCGGGAGAAAACCTGGCACCAGTCTCTCCCTGGGCCAGGTGGATGCAGATCCAGATGCTGTCTCTCCTGGGGGATCTTGCTTCATCTCCAGGACTCTTATCAGAATAGTTTTGAGCATTCAGGGCAGTTGGGAGAAGCATTCTGAGGGTGCCGGATTCATGTCTTTTTTTTTTCTTTTTTTTGAGTCAGAGTCTCACTCTGTTGCCCAGGCTGGAGTGCAGTGGCACACTCACAGCCACCACAGCCTCAACCTTCTGGGCTCAGGTGATCCTTCTATCTCAGCCTTCCAAGTAGCTGGAACTATAGGAGTATGCCACCACACCCAGCTAATTTTTTGATTTATTGTAGAGACAAGGTCTTGCCAAGTTGCCTAGGCTGGTCTCGAACCCGCGGGCTCAGGCAATCCTCTCACCTTGGCCTCCCAAAATACTGGGATTATAAGCATGAGCCTCCATGCCCAGCATGGGATTCATATCTTTAGGCATCTGCCCAGCTTGAGAAAAAGGATGTGTCCCCTGGAAGGTTCTGACCGGAAGGGCCTCCAAGATAAAAGAGCTTATCTTGAGGGCCTGGTCATGCTGTGGAGTCCCAGGGTGTTCGTATAGCCTCAGCCTCCTGATGAGGACAAGAACTACCGAGGGAAGCTTAGATGGAGTGAGAGAACCAACCCGTTTCCCAGCTCCCAATCAACCAAGGGAAAAACACTTGATTTGGCTGAAGCATATCCATTAGTTGGTGGGGGTGGGGAGAGGTTGGGTGGTTCCAGAGACTCACAGTTCCAGCAAATCAGCTGCTTTTCTCCCAGGCGTGATTGGCGTTGTAGGCATGGTGGGGATAATTGTGCCCGTGGTGTAACCACACGAAGAATGGCCACCGTGGGGGCCACGCCCCGTGAGGCTGTCCTGTGAACAGCTCCGGCCTATCCAGGCTTCTGGCTGTCGTGAGAGCTGCCTTAAACATGGAAGGGTCCAGAAAGGGAGTGACCTCCGTGGGTGCTGGGTTTCCATTTGGGGTGATGTAAATGTCTTGGAACCAGAGAGCGGTGATGGTTTCACAGCATCGTGTGTGGTGATGCCACGGAAGTGAACACTTTAAAACGGTTCAGTGGTCAACTTTATGTTATGTGTCTTTTACCACAATAAAAAATAATGGGCAAAAGCAGGAAGAGGCAAAGTGGTGAGATCAGCGTGTAGCACGGCACTTCCTGCCATGGCAGAGCAAATCCGAACTCTGAGGTGCTTTTAATAATGTCTTGACTTCTGTGACCTTGTAGATGATGGCGTGGAGGAGGGCTGCTCACTTTTCCTTTTGGATTCTCACAGAACAGACGGGTAGCCTCTGGTCCATTAGGATTCAGAGGAGGTCAGATCTGGATTTTCCAGGACCACTGGTGTCCGCTGCAAGGCGGCTGACTCCACAGGGTGGCGCTGTTGTGGCTACCTGGGACCACCTGGTATGTCCCCTGCTAGTACCTGGAAATACCTGGCTTGGGTCAGGACACCTCGCCACTCCAGCCACGGGATCCCAGGATCCCGGTTCACAGAAGTGGCCGAACGCGTGTGCGTATACCAGAGGCGGATGTCTTCTCACCTGCGTCTCTCGGTTTAGGCCAACACAGAGCGGTTTGAGATGGAGACCCGGGGAGTCAACCATGTCGAGGGTGGCTGGCCCAAGGATGTGAACCCTCAGGAGCTGGAGCAGACGATCCGCTTCCGGAAGAAAGTGGAGAAGGATGAGAACTATGTCAATGCCATCATGCAGCTTGGCTTGGTGAGCTGTCACTGCAGGTCCCCAGGGGGTGCCCACCACAGCTGTGCCTGGCTCCGAGGGCTCCTGTGGCTCCCAGGGGGAGGACACCAGCTGCTGGCCTCTAGGGGCCTTCTGTCTGGGAGCAGGTGGCAGCCACAGCAGCAGCCCACGGGAAAGGCAGGCAGCTCTGGGGGCTGAGCAGGGCTTAGGAGAAGTCTGACCTGAAAGAGGATCCCCAAAAAGCCCCCCCAGGCAGCCAGTAGGGATCATTCATTCACTCGACAGACTTGGACTGGGTTTGAACTGTCTAACAGGCACAATGGAGACGACAAAATCAGCCTCACACACATCTCGCCCCAAAGAGTTTATAGTCCACTGGAGTCAATGACAAATATGGAGACATCACCGTATAACGCAGAAAGAAAGGAATAATGGAAGAGAAAGGTGCCTTGCCATTTTGCCCCATGAGAAGGGGTAACTGGCTAATCTCCTGCCCCATGAGAAGGGAGATTGGCTAATCTCCTGCTGAAGGAAGCAGGGAAGGCTTTCTGGAAGCGATGGCAGGGTTTGGATGTTCCTTGCTGGACATTTAGAATACTGGGGAGGGTGTTCTGGGTGGAGGAACCAGGTGTCTGCAAGGATAGGAATTGGGAGTGGGTGCTGTATGCAGAGTGATGAATAGCTCTGTTGGGACAGCACTGTGTTCCTCAACCTTTTTCATTATTGCCCCTTGTGATTTTCCTAATTGCCTCCCTTCCCCATGAAATTTTAATGCCATAGGTAGACGGTTTACCCGTTTATGTGTACATGTATATCTATGCTTTGTACGTTAAAAGTAGCGCCATCTTACGCCCCACGGAGCCGTGGAAAATGCCCCCACTGAAATGCCCGGCTAGGAGGAAGGGAAAAGGCCATCAGATGTGCCTTGTCCCCCAGCTCTGCCCCAGCCCTGGGCAGCCCGAGAGGGCCTCCCTGCACCACTGAGACCTTGCGACGTGTCCTCCTCAGATCATGGAGCACTGCATCAAGCAGAACAATGCCATCGACATCTACGAGGAGTACTTCGACGACGGCGAGGAGGTGGAGGTGACCGAGGAGGCCCCTTCGGCGAAAACCATCAACATTTTCAGGTAGCGCTCTGGCGGGGCAGGCGTCTGGCGCCCTCTGTCACCCCCTTGGGTGGGAGCCCCAAAGGCGGCTCCTGCCGGTCACTCCATGCGTGGGTCCATTGCTCCGGCGCTCTGAGCTGGATAAGAGACAAGAGTGATGCCCCGGCAGAGAAGTGGGTCCTGCCCTGGGGGCAGGGCTGGTGGGTGAAAAGGGAGTGTGGACCCCAGGAGAGGGCTTGAAGTGGATTTGCCAAGCTGTGTACGAGAGGGGCGGATTCCCGCGGTGTAGACTGAGTACAAGGTGGCCGGCGTAAGAGACCACGGTGTTGTGGGTGGACAGGCCCCGCCCATCCCGCACTCACAGGCGTGTGTTTGGAGGTAACCTTGAAAAACAGCGGTTTGGCTCCAGGGGTTCATCCCACGGATGTGTGTGTGAGGTCACCGTGTGTGGATACTCACCGCAGTGGGGTGCGTGCTAGCCAGAGACTGGAGTGAGTTGAGTCCGTCACAGGGGGCTGGATCCAGCGGTCCTGGGACAGCCACACAGTGCGATACCATGCAGCCCTGGGATGACTTGGGCCACTTGTATGCGGTGTGGACTGACTTCTAAGGCACGCTGCGTGAAAACCAAACCAAAACAAACTAGGGGCGGGGCAGTGTGTGGGGAGTGTGACTTTGACTTGTTGTTTGAAACATACATAGGTACAGACTCACAGAGGGCCGCTAACTTAAACCATTCTTTGACTTTATGATGGGGGGAAGCGACATGCACTCAGGAGAAACAGTACCTCGAGTGACCATACAGCCGTTCCGTTTGTCACTTTCAGTATGGTATTCCGTAAATTACATGAGGCATTCAGCATTTTATGATAAAATAGGCTTTCTGGTAGGTGATTTTGCCCAACTGTCGGCTAATGTCAGTGTTCAGAGAATGTTTACGGTAGGCTCGGTAAGCCATAATGTTAGCTAGATTAAGTGTACTAATACAGTTTTGACTTGTGATCTTTTCTTTTCTTTTCTTTTTGAGTTGGAGTCTCACATTTCGCCCAGGCTGGAGTCCACTGGCACACTCATAGCCACCACAGCCTCAAGCTGCTGGGCTCAGGCAATCCTTCTGCCTCAGCTTCCCAAGTAGCTGGAACCACAGGCATGAGCCACTGCACCTGGTTTGCTTCTGATATTTTCAACAAACAATGGGCGTATCAGGCCATAACCTCATCATAAGTCAAGGAGTGGGCTGGGCACAGTGGCTCCCAGCACTTTGGGAAGCTGAGGCAGGAGGATTGCTTGGGCCAGGAGTTTGAGGCCAGCTTGGGCAACATAGCGAGACTGTCTCTATTAAAAATAATAATAATAAAATGGCCAGACTGAGTGGCTCAGCCTGAAATCCCAGCACTTTGGGAGGCCGAGGCGAGTGGATTGCCTGAGCCTGTGGGTTCAAGATTCGTCTGGGCAACTTGGCAAGATCTCTACAATAAATCAAAAATTAGCCGGGCATGGTAGCGTGCACCTGTAGCTCCGGCTACTAGGAAGGCTGAGGAGGAAGGATCGCTGGAGCCCAGCAGGTCGAGGCTGTGGTGGCCGGGAGCGTGCCACTGCACTCCAGTGAGACTCCAACTCAAAAAAAAAAAAAAAGGAAATATGTCGAGAAGCATCCATATATGTGCATGAATATACACATTCGTGTGTATGTGTGTTATATGACACGAGTGTATATGTTTTTGATATGAGGAGAACACCTGTGAGTTTGGACTCCTGGCCTCCAGAACTGTGAGAGAACACATTTCTGTTGTTTAAGCCATCCAGCTCGTGGTACCTTGTTACAGCAAGTCTAGGAAGTCGAGGCACCAACCTAAAATAGAGCGTTTGAGCACATCCTTAGGGTGGAGGAAAGAACCCATTAGGAGGGAGAGCCTAGGAACGGGGACGGGTGAACACTGGGGAAGAGGGACACCTCGTCCTGGAGACGTGGAAGGCAGTGCAGGTGGGGCCGCATTCAGGGAGGCGCCGTGGGCGGAAGTGCGGGAGCTGGTTGTGTCCATGAAGTGAAAGCAAGGTGGTCCATTCAGATGGAGTGGAATCGAGAGGGCTGGAATCAAAGGGCAGGTGACGGCGAGGCAGCTGCAGGGCGTGAGGTTGGGTCTCGAGTCTGGGCGGTACAGGATTCTGGGCAGTACAGGGTTCTGGGCTGAGAGACGTTCTGGAAGTGATGTGCTCAAATGCCATCTCTGGGGATTCGTTTTGCTACCCCGACCGACTGAGGGTCCTGGGCAGCAGTTTTGCTGACCTCAAAATCCCTGTCCCTACCTGTTCTTTCCTTCCTCTAACCTCTAATCTTTTGTGTGTGTGTGTGTGTGTGTGTGTGTGTTAGAGTCTCACTCTGGCACCCAGACTGGAGTGCAGTGGCATGCTCCCAGCCACCGCAGCCTCGACCTGCTGGGCTCTGGCGATCCTTCCGCCTCAGCCTTCTAAGTAGCCGGAACTACAGGCGCGCACTACCACACCTGACTAATTTCTTTTTATTGTAGAGAGGAGGTCTCACCAAGTTGCCTGGGTGGGTCTCGAACCCGCGGGCTCAGGTAGTCCTCTCGCCTCGGCCTCCCAAAGTGCTGGGATTACAGGCTGAGCCACGGAGCTCAGCCTAACTCCTAATCTTTTTACTGTCTCCATCGTTTTAACTTTTCCAGAATGTCACATAGTTGAACCAATCCAGAGTGACGCCTCTTCTGATTGGCTTCTCTCACTTGATAATGTGCATTTAAGGTTCCTCCATGACTTCTCACGGGTAGCTCCTTTCTTTTTATTGCTGAATAACAGTCCACTGTCTTAATGGACCACAGTTATTTGTCTGTTCACCCATCAAAGGACATCTTGTTGCTTCCAAGCTTGGTAATTATGAATAAAGCTGCTGTGGACATGTGTGTGCGTGTTTTTGTGTAGACGGAAGTTTTTACCTCTTTTGAGCAAATACCAAGAAGTATGACTGTTGGATTCTTTGCCTCCTTTTTATTTTAACAGTCGTGGAAGATCAGGCCTCAGGCACAAAACTTTCAGCAGGTGAAAGGATCCAACTGGAATTTAACATTTGCTTTCATTGACTTAATTTCAATTTATTTACTTAAACATTTTTGTTTTTGTTTTTGTTTTTGAGTTGGAGTCTCACTCTGTCACCCAGACTGGAGTGCAGTGGCCGCTCCCGGCCACCGCAGCCTCTACCTGCTGGGCTCCGGCGATCCTTCCATCTCCGCCCTCCAAGTAGCTGAACTACAGGCGCGCGCTACCACGCCCAGCTAATTTTTGATTTATTGTAGAGATGAGGTCTCACCAAGTTGCCCAGGGGGGTCTCGAACCCGCGGGCTCAGGCAATCCACTCACCTCAACCTCCCAAAGGCACGGGATTACAGGCTGAGCCACCGAACCCGGCTTACTTAAACATTTTGAAATTAATTTTTTGTAGAGATGGGTCCTTGCCCAGACTGGTCTCAAACTCCTGGGCTCAAGGGATCCTCCTGCCTTGGCCTCCCAGAGTGCTGGGATCTCAGGCATGAGCTACCATACCTGGCCTCT